ACACAGAAGAACTAAACAACACAATCAGCCAACTGGACCTCATAGATGTGTAGAGAGTATTCAACCCAACAACTGCACAATACACATTCTTTTCCAGTGCACATGAAACATTCTCCAGAATAGACCATGTTTTAGGCCACAAAACAAATCTCCATAAATTTACAAATATCAAAATACTACAAAGCATCTTCTCAAACAGTGAGACAGCCCTTCTCCTAGGTCTGGACATGTTTCCATCAGGCTTGAGGCCTCCCCTACACCCCAAAGTGCCCACAGGGTCTCCTGGGGAGCATGAGACTAGCCTCAGAACCCTGGTGTCTTCCTCCCTGGAGAGCAGATTCTGGCCAGTGTCTGGGACGGGGCCCTGGTGGGTGGTGGACAAGCCTCTGCCTATCACCTGTCCTGCCATACCTGGACTAAATGATTTGGGGGCTCCCTCCTCAGGAGGATTATCTGCTCCCCCTTCAGCCTGTTGGTCCTCACCTCGCACACAGAGCTACAGTGTGCTAGACAGAAATTAGTCCCAGCCAGCTGTCTGGCTGCCAAGTGGCCCCATGCGGGTGCTTGATAAATTTGGAGAAAGGAGGAGGAATTTCTGGGTCAGCTGACCCTCCAGAGCATTGTTCTGTGAGGCCCCAGGAGACAATAAGAGTACCATTGCACCGCCTTCCCCACCTCTGCCAGCAAGGTCACATTTGCCAGGGGTGCAGGGCCTCTCACACCCAAGGGTTAGGGAGCAAGAGCAGAGCAACTCTGCCCCGAGGAGGCCAGGGGCCCTGAGACAAGAGTGGACGCAGGGACCAGGCTCCACCCACTCAGGTGTCAGCCTCTCTGGAGCCTCAGTCTCTTCATCTGGAAGATGGAATTGAAACAGTGCTCAAAGACATGGACCCCAGAGAAGTGGGGACTGATGCTCACTCCATCACCTGGGCACATATGCTCACCAGAAATGCCATTGCCATGCAGTCAGACAACACGGGATGCCCCTGTGTGTCTCAGTAGAACTGTGGTCCATGCCATGCAGTCAGACAACTTGGGATGCCCCTGTGTGTCTTAGTAGAACTGTGGTCCATGCCATG